ACAGCGCAAGATAAAAAAATGCAATTTATAAAATGACTGTTGCTAAAAAAACGGAGCCAAACAGTTGATAAAAATGGCACCTTATAAAAATGATTGTGGCCAAAAAAAACTGAACCAAACAGCGTAGGATAAAAAAATGCGCCTTATAAAAATGACTGTTGCCAAAAAAATCGGAGCAAAACAGTTGAAAAAAATGGCACCTTATAAAAATGTCTGTGGCAAAAAAATCGAACCCACACAATGTAAGATAAAAAATGCCATCTTATGAGAAAAATTGTGTGCAGGCGCAGTACTTATGAAACAACTATGTCCATCTTGAACGTGGCAGCTGGCACGGGCAGTGTTTGAGAAACAACTATGGCCATCTTGAACGTGGCAACTGGCAGGCGCAGTATTTGAGAAGCAACTATGGCCATCTTGAACGTGGCAAGTGGCAGGCGCAGTATTTGAGAAACAACTATGGCCAGCTTGAACGCGGCAACTGGCAGGGGCAGTATTTGAAAAGCAACTATGGCCATCTTGAACGTGGCAACTGGCAGGCGCAGTATTTGAGAAGCAACTATGGCCATCTTGAACGCGGCAACTGGCAGGCGCAGTATTTGAGAAGCAACTATGGCCATCTTGAACTTGGCAGGTGGCAGGGGCAGTATTTGAGAAGCAACTATGGCCAGCTTAAACGTGGCAACTGACAGGCGCAGTACTTGAGAAGCAACTATGGCCAGCTTGAAGGTGGCAACTGACAGGCGCAGTATTTGAGAAGCAACTATGGCCATCTTGAACGTGCCAGGTGGCAGGGGCAGTATTTGAGAAGCAACTATGGCCATTTTGAACGTGGCAGGTGGCAGGGGCAGTATTTGAGAAGCAACTATGGCCATCTTGAACGTGGCAGGCGGCAGGCGCAGTATTTGAGAAGCAACCATGAATGGGTGTGCCCATGCGGTGGGTTGACTTTACATGACTTTACATTACTTTAGCCACCTAGGTGGGCTGCTTAAACTCGGCACCGAATAGCTCAGATTACGGAAACCATGCGTCTATTCGCAGGCAGTGTAGGAGTGGCCAACTCCATGCAGTATCTCGTTTTGCTGCCTGGCCTAGCTTTGGTCCACCGCGGCGAACTATTCACTCAGTCTCGCACGCATGTGACTTGCAACGATGAAGCCCGCGCGGGAAACCGACTGGTTTTGGTCCCCGCTCATGTGCACAGAAAGGGGTAGACCATGTCTGGACAGTACTAGAGTCCCCAAACGCAGACACTACGCAATATTTCCGGGTCCAAAGTTTGCCCTTGCATCTATATTATATATCATGGTGAGCAAGAGATTTGTCCAAATGGTTTTCCCGTTTTTTGTGGAGGAAACAAAAAGAAAGGCTGAGTTGGAAGAATTGGCCTTGAGTGCAGAGCAGGATGAAGAAGACGTTTTTGATTTTGGTGGCATGAGGTGACTTAGAATCTCCGAAGGAGTTATCCATAGCCCAACTTCTCACAGAACTTGTGATGTCGCAGCGCTTCGACAGCTTTGGACCCGCAAAAGTAGCGTAGCGCAGTGAGCCGTGTGTGTATGTCCCAACTGGATTCTCTTGTATATTAGCTCATCATCCTACTGATTAACCAGTTGCGAGGTTGGTGATCAACCGCATCAACTTTGGATATATTTACCTTATGAAGGTGAGTTTTTCATGATTTTTCATCATGCTGAGAGGGTGACATGGGTTTTTGATCACTGCAGGGCTTTCAGCGTCCTCTTCTTTGTAATGATTTTGTGACACTTCCCAAACTGGGCCACTTGGAGACATATCAAGACATATCAAGACCACGTCTTCCAACTAATCGAGATTCCTGGGATGCCGGTGCAAGTGTGAATAAGAACTGCGATCCACTGGTTCTAGTACTAGTGGTGGGAGGACCCCCACTGCGATGAACAGCAAAATGCGAGACCTTAGTGACTGAGATTGGTATATTCGGAATAGCTTGGCAGGTGGTCTCCATGAACCTGATCCTCTACGGCAGTCTTGCCACGGTTGCTTACAGCAAGTCTTGGTGCGCCCTGGTCTGCAACTTTCTGGATATGATGCTTGGATGGGTATCCGAGATGAGGAGGTTCACAAGAACTCGCGAGAACTTGGGGGAGAAGTGGAGAGTGGAGAGCCCTTTCTTTTTTTCAGGAGTGGCGGTTTCAAATCATTATTGGTTTACTGCATGCCCATTCCAACAGATTGGAATCTGTAATGATCTTCAATCCCTCATATTTTCAGAAAACACCAGAGATGACGGACCAGGAAAGATGAACCCTTGTTGTTTCTTGATATGCAGATTTAGCCAGGCACGAATCATTCAGCCAGCTCCAGGAACACCCAAACGTGGTTTCTGATGATTTTGGCCCCATTTCCAAGTGGGAGCGCACGGAGACAATCCCAAAAGATAGTAAATGGATGACCATGGTTAGTAATTTGGATCATCACTCATCACTCCTTCTGGTTGCGGATAGTTTATACGATTTTTCTAGCCCGGGTATGAACTTTAATGAATCTTATTTTCTCTATATGTTCTATAGGATCAGCCCAGTAAACCACCATGACTTCTCTGCAAGGATGCTGGTGCCAGCATGCTGGTGATTTTTGGACATGGGCTCTCTTTTCGTGGAAGACAACGATCGTGGCACCTCTGCACCACCATGGTGATTTGTTGCTGGCTCAAGATGGGAGGAGGCCCCGCACCGTTTCGCCAAATAGAGACGGTTCAATCACAAAGGGGGATGAAAGGATGAAAGGATGACAAAAGGATGGTCATTTTGGTGTGAAGACTAGGTAACCGGTACCAGGGTTTTGACCTACAGCCATTTTCCATCATTTTCCCAAAGTATTGGTAATACACCAATAGCTGGTTGTCAAGCATGGCAATATGAAGAATTGTCTATGCACATCCTCATCTATGTCGAGCTGTCCAGCGGTGACCTCATTGCCAAGAATGGATCTGTACATATTAAATGACACATTATTTTTCCCATCTTTTACCACCGCCATTGCGTCCGGATCGGTATGCAGGTAGACTGCGACTTCCATCTTGGCCCTGGGTAGCCTGCTCCCATTTGGTTGGATCTCCGCACTCTGTGTGGCTTCGGAACCTGAACCCAGGTTGCAACTTGTGTTTTTACAAGGTTGCCGGTTTTACCTTGCTTTTTTCCCTGGAAGGCTTTCTAGGTGACTTCAGGTAAGATGATTATTTTGGAATCATCCGGAAACTTGAGCTGTGTATTTCGGAATCATCCGGAAACTTCAGCTGTGCTCTCGGTTTCATGTCTTTCGGTTTGCATTGCATCTGCTTTATAACGCGACGGTTGATATATTGGTTTTGTATACCGTGGCGATAGCCTCACGTTAGGATATATATATATAGAACGGCGCGATTTAATGCCTAGATTTGTAACTGTTGAGCGAGCGTGGCGATCCGTGTTTTTCCCATGCAAGGGTTTAGGGTGCGTCGTTGGGGTGGGGTGGGCGGGGTGGGATATTGACGTCCTGACGACCACGTCCTTGATTCTACGTTGTCAACGCATGTTCCACCGACTAGGAAGACCTTGATGATGCAACATGATGCTACGTTAACAGAACATTGGGGTGGGGTGGGGTGGGGTGGGATATTAACGTCCTGACGACCACGTCCTTGATACTACGTTGTCAACGCATGTTCCACCAACTAGGCAGACGTTGATGATGCAACGTGATGCTAGGTTGACAGCACGGAAGAACCACAAGGAAAAGACTTTTCAGTGGCTCTGGCATCGCAATAAGGATGTGAACGAAAAGTTCACACCGGCACACATGTGCAAGGAGCTGGGAAAGCTTTGCAAGTGCCGTGCTTGAATGTGGAAAAGGACGCGCACTTTTGGAGGTTTCAAACGTCGCGCAACGTCGTTTTGTGAGGCAGGCGTGGCGCTTTGTGACATCATAAGGTGTCGGAAGTCGTTTTGTCTGACAGGCGCAATACTTTTGCGAGGTGGTCAGAAGATGAGTTGCATTTTATGGTCTGCTGGGCTTGATAGCTGGACCTTGTTGATATCTGTTGTTGGGGGAAGATGCCGCCCAAAGCTCGTGCGGCAGAGGTGTCAATGGTTGTTGGATGGGTTTCGGTTTTTGGGGGAAAGAGAGTGCCTAGAGGAGGATGGCTGATTCTCAGACACCCTAGCAGAGATAGTTGCCCAGAACCATGCTTTTTCGATCTAACCAACCAGGTTTTCTTGCTGCGGTCAAAGGCACCTTCCCATCTATTCCTGCCTGTCTGTCTGTCTGTCTGCCTGTTTGTCTATCTGCCGCCGATCCATCTGTCTATGCGTCAATCTCTATATGTCTGCAATCATGCAGGCTGACATCTCTTGGAAGCAGTGTGCCAATGTGTGACTTGCGTGTCCAGCGTAGACTTTTTTTGCCCCAGCACTTCCAGCACAGCTTTTTTTGTCCCAACACTTTTGCGTTTTTGCTCCAGTGTTTTTGGGGCATAGCTTGGCCGTGTGGGTAGCTCTTGCGTTGCCGAACATGCCACCCAAAGCTCGCGCACCGGAGGCGCGCATGGTGTTTGGGTGGGGCCAGGTTTCTGGGGTTAAAATTTGCACAATTTGCACATGTTCCGGGCCAAGCCGATGTCTCCCCACAGTGTGCAAAAAATTGCGTAAAGAATGTTTGTATATATATATATATATTTTTTTTCCTCCACTTGGATTTGCCCACGCTTTATGTTGCAACCAGAAAGCATCCCATGCTGTACTTGGGAACCTAGAACGCAGCTCCTGTGTGCACCGCTGCTTTGACCGAACGCATCAAGCAAGTGCTTCAAAGTTAACGTTGATTTCCACAAGTCCAAAAAGTTTACTAACGGATGGGGACCCCAGAGCTTGCTGTCTTGAACTGACAACTAATTTTCAAAGTGGCAGCAAGTGACCTTGACATGATAGCATTCTACCTGCGGGCAGTACTTTGAGATGTGATGCCATGTATGTGCAGCCATGAGCTCAATTGAGTTGGCGGGCTTGAGCCGCAGGATCCGCTCCGTGAGGAGAAGTTTGAGAAGACAGCTGGATGAGTCGCAAGGCTCATGGAGCGGCCTCTCTGCTTCATGCGTGAGACAGGCGCTCCTGGTCTACCTTTGGAGCCAAGCAAAGACGTCGCATCATGCTTTGGACGCCGCGGCTACCTACCTCGCTCGCGCTGCTCCTCTGGTGATTGTGCAGGTGGCCGTGTCGGCGAAGGATGCCTTCGATGCTTTGTTTGCCGCTACTTCGGCAGCGTTGATGGCTCGGTTGAGCACAGACCCACCTGCATCGGAGCTGTACCGGGCTTGTGATTTCATTATACAATACCTGCTTCATGATTGGGTCAGGTCTCAAAATGTCGAGTATGGAGTGGCCCCCACAAGGCAGCAGTTAGTAAGACAGGCTTTGCTCTTTGTTCCGGACGGCCTTCCAGAGGCTGTAGAGAACCGCCTGTGTTTGCCTTTCTATGGTGGCCCTCCATCCCAACGGACATATTTGAGACGTTTTCGGAAAGCTTGGAACGGGCGCATAGGCACCTTACCTGTCACAGCTTCTTTGCCAATCCATGTGTTGCAGGAGAAGGCGTGGACTTGGTCAGGTTGGGTCGGTTTGGTACCCAATTTTGAAAGCAGTTCTGGAATCCCAATTTCAGGTCCCCATGGCTCAGGTAAATAGGGTGGCCCCCTTTTTAGGGTTCATTTTTGGCACCCCTTTTTTGGGGTCTGCTTTTGAAGCAATTTTTGTTTTGGAGCTTGCAAGCCAGGCCTATTCTTTTTACCGGTGGGCCAACTGCATCCCGCCAGACAATATTTTGGTCAACATGGATGAATGTTCTTTGGTTGTGCACGTGGAAGGGTGCCGAAGCACTGTTTTGCGGTCCGTACGTGGTGCGTGCGAGCATCTTTGAGTACCCAGAGGTCCCGGATGACGCTCTTAGCATCAGTGTCTACAGATTTCGGTTTCAACGCAATCTTGCCGCAGGTTATCATTGCCAACAAGACCCAGTTTCCCATCAAATTTATGAAGTCTTTGGATCCGGCAATCACGGATCGATTGAAAATTTGGCGTGGTGCCACCGCATGGAATACTGCTGCATTCATGTGTTCCTATTTGCGTCTTCTACATGAAAATTGGCAATCTTACTGCCCTGAAAAGCCTTTGCCGCTCCTCTTCGACTGTGCTGCATGCCACCTCCATTCTACTGTGAGGTCATTGGCCAAAACATTGGGGTTGCAGGTCCTAGTGGTACCGGCTGGTGCTACCGGTACACTTCAACCGCTTGATGCATATATTTTTCGCACCCTACGCTGTGAGATCCGGCGGCAGTGGACGCAGACAAAGAGCGAAGCTGCTGAAGGTGTTGTTTCCCGAGAAGCATGGCTACGTGTGATGGCCACTGCAGTGGAGACAGTGCTTTCGCATCGAGATTGGCAGCGGGCTTTTGAAGGAACTGGAGTGACCAAGCAGCAGAATTGCATATCGTCGCATACATTGAAAGCCTTGCAATGGGATGAGTGTCCAAAGATTCCAGCTGGGCGCCCTAGTGTGGGGCAAGCATCGTGTATCTTCCCAAGCCGCGGTGCTGGAAGTGGCAACATTGAAGCATGGGTGAAAGAGTGCGCTGGTGATGACAGCTTAATTCCATACATCCGAACCTTGAACTGATGGTAGCAGTAGCTCTGCCTTGATCAGGTGAAAAGATGCAACAGCTGGGAATGCATACTGTACGTTGAAAACGTTGTCCAGGCATCAAGCTCTGGTATCACTGAGCTCTATGGAGAGCGAGCTGTACGCGCTACAGAGTCTGAGTCAGGAGATGGTATCTATAAGAAAGATGCTTGGGAGAATTCTGTTTTCCTTTAAGGAACTTGAATCCAGTGAAATTCCAGGAGTCTTGAGGACCGACTCCGAGTCGTCTATCAAACTGCTGAAAGGTTTGGACCTACCACGAAAATCTCGACACCTTGAGATTCGGATTGAATGGCTTCGAGAGAGAGAGTGGAACTTGGAAAGTTGAAAATCCACTATGAGAAAGGGTCTAGTAATCCAGCTGACGCTTTGACAAAATGCCTGAGGAGTTCAATCTTTGGGATACACAGAGCTGCAATGGGTTTCGAGGTCCTGGACGCTCCTCTGGGAGCCATCATGGCCATTTCGACTGGTTATGTCTTCATTGAAGTATGTTGCAAACCGGACTCAAGCATTTCCAAGGTAGCTCGAAGGTTTGGTTTTCTGTACATTGGTATTGTTGAGAATATGGAGAAGAAAACTGTTTTTGAGCGGGTGGTTGATACTTTGAAAGATTTCGGAAAATCAAAGGTTTTTGTCCATGTTTCATCACCATGTTCTTCGGGATCTCCATTGAGGAACTTCAAGAGTGACAACACGACCACTGAAGCGGATGTGATTTGGTTTGATGTTATTCCTCATGTTGCCAAGTACATGAAGTTGGGTAAATATTCATCTTTTGAGTTGCCATGGAGGAATGCAATCTGGAGTCATACCATGACCACGAAAATTTTAGCTCAGGCTGAACACAAACATGCTGCAGCTGTGCACTTGTGCACAACAGGTTCAAAGACTAAGGACGGTGAGCCGGTTGGCAAGGTGTTGAAGTTCACCAGTAACAGCAAGTTGATGGTTGGCCGATTAGCCAAGGACTTTGGTCAGTGTCACTGCACTCAGAAGCATGCTGGTTTGACAAGTGTGGATTGGCCTGAAACTGCCTTCTACAATGAGAATCTAGCTGTTTCGATTGTTCGTGGTGCTTTGGACGCATTGAGAAATGATGGATAGTTTTTGTTGTTGCTGTTGTGAATTGGTGATGACAGGAATCTTGATTCGATTTTGTTTTTCGAACTTGAGCTGACGAAATAAAGTTTGATCTGAAACGATCGTGCACTGAAACTTTGAAACTGATCTCAATGCGAAGCACATGGGACATGTTTTGGACTTGATGCAAACTGTTTTGAACTTGTCTGAAACTGACTGGACTTGACGGGCGTTGCAGTCTGAAAGGTTTAAGATCTTTGACTGGCACATGTATAGTTTGAGGTATGTGTATCTGGTATGTGGGCGGGCCTTGAAGGTCTGTGTGGGTGCCAGGTAGGCAGGTCTCGTCCTTTCTTACGTTTCTCAGACCTTGCTCTGGTAGCTACTGTGGAGATCTGTTTGGATTCTTGGCTTAGGCTTTGTGTTGTTTCGGATTCTGAGTAGCGCCTGAGTAAGATTTGTGTTTTTACACTCATCTCTTGCTGAAGCCATGGCTGTGTCTAAGAATGCATCTGGATATAGTGGTTTGACAGAAGATGAGGAGAAGCAGTTGAAAGCACTGTTGAATAAGGCTCAGCAGGCTCCGAAGGCGTCTGGTGGATCAGCAATGACTGATGCTTCCAAGCGTTTGAGGGGAGAGAGTGATTCGGACTTTGAAGCAGTTGGATCTCCAACTACTCCAAGTGAGCTCTTCCGAAGTGAAGATCACAAGGAGGTTCCATTGCCAAAGAATTGCACTCTGAAGGAGTGGTCTCACACGGTGTGCCAGCTTCCGAAAGTCAATGGTGAGCCGAAGTGGAACGGAAAGACTTATTCTGAACTGCTTAGGATGGCTATTGACGGTGACATTGAGCTGGACAAGTATCTGGGATTCATTTTCAAGAAGTATCATGGGTCCTATGATGGAACTCACAAGTCTCAAGCCGTGGACTTGGCTGGGTTTCTTCTCTATATGGAGCTTGATCCTGAGAGAGAGCCAGCTGGTTCTTGGAAGAGAGTGATTAAGCCGTGATCTCAATGTGACTCCGGTCATCAATACATTGGCTTTGCGATTCTGACTGTCCTGGAAGGGGCCGAATTTATTGGAAGAGTCTGTGTATTGCAACATGGAAATCTGGCTTTAGCTGCAATTTCTGTCAGACACTACGTGTCGCTTTGGGTTTTGCAGTCTAGCTGGAAGAGAAGGTGATCATTGTGGCTCCGGCCATCAATCTTTGATACAGGAAACTTCCTTTCTGTTAGACACTGAAGACTTTCGAGTGGGATGTGTCGCTTTGGGTTTGGAAGCAGCACGCCGAAAGGGGGTGTGAATATATGGCATTAGACCGTCGTGCTTCTTCACGATGTACGCTGGGATTAGACTGTTATGCACCTCTATTTGGTACAATGGTTCATTGGATGCTACTTCTATGATACTGCATTTGACTTCGGTATTCATTGAGATTCTGCACTTTTGATGAGCTGAGAATGTTCTAGAATGGACGGTATTTCATTGGATGCTATTTCGGTGACATTGCGTTTTGACCACTGTCTTTGCTGGAATTTGTGTTTTCGATGAGACGAGAGTGTTTTCAAGCTTTAGGGATTTAGCCGATTTGACCACAGTTTGTTTGGAACGATTTTGGAAACATTTCAACATTTTCGGAAACGTTCGGAACATTTGAGAAGTATTTCAAACACTTTTGGACCGTTTGGAGATGATTTGACATCACGAAGTTGTTCGTCAAATCATGCTGTAAAGGTTTCTCTGAGTATCATCATTGGATGATATGGAAACGGCAAGTTTTGGTGCAACCAGTTTTGTCGATGTTGTTAGCCAACAACATCGCCTGTGGTGCTAAGGTGCTATGGGTGGTTGATTCTTTATTATCCCGTTTGGGGTTTCTCCTCGATGATGACAAAACACCCCGGCATTATGCCACTGTCGGCAGGTGAAAAGGGGTAAGTCTGAGGGGAGAAACCACAAACCTTGGTTTGTTGGTTTCTTGCCTCTGGTTTGTGTTTGGATTGGTTAAATCAACCACTTATGGTACTAACTAGCTACACGATAGGTCGGAATCGTTGATTGTTGCGTAGGACGTTGTCTGAAACAACTTTTGATCTGGAATCCGCAGTTGGTACAGCAGTCTTTTGGTTTTGAGAAGTCCGTGTGACTTTGTCAACCAGAGAGTGGCTCGAGTAACAAGAGAATTTAAGACACTTGGTTTTGTGCCTTGTGTGACCTGTTTGTTGACGGCGCGAAAAGGATTTGGAACTCGCTGAGCTGAGTTGAGGGTTCATTAAGATTTTTACAGTTTCGCTCCTTCTTGTGTTTTATTTTCTCGCCATACCAGCCTCCATACCAGCCTGTAAAATAGAAATTGAAACAGCCTCGAATGGCCCGAAAAGCGGTGGGGCAGTGTGGAATTTCATTACGGAAGTAAATCAAAGTTGAGTTTTGTTTAAGCTCAAGCAACGCAACTGGGGGAGGACCACTTCTTGGAGGCCAAAAAGCCAATGTGTTTACGGCCACGAAAATGAGATTGTTGCAGTGACTTTTACGGAAGATTGCGCAGCTTGGCAGGATTCCGGGGAACACGGTTGCTGATTGAAAGGCTCTAGCCCCGCCTGCATGTTGCCAATCTTTGTCAAGGCACCAAATTGTTTGGGTGTTGTCGCCGTGGGTGAGGTGCTGATTCCGCAGGGGCATTCGTGGGTGAGGTGCTGATTCCGCAGGGGCATTCCTGGCGGAATGCTTTTTCCTGTGTTTGCGGTGCTCAGTTTTGTTTTGTCTTTTGATGCGTTGTTTTTTGGGCTCGCCCTCTTCGCTCCTCTAGACTTCTAACGCGGCAACTTTGTGGGTCGGGTTGTGTATGTCGCCCGGAGTTCAGTATCATCCGGTAAAAGAATAATAGTACACATTTAAAACCGGATGAATCCTTTGTTTTTTTGGGGAAGAGTTTCGATTTCATCCAGCAGATTCCGTAAGAAGGCTGGAGATGCAAAACTTCGGTTTTACTACAGTTTTGTGCTAGTTTTGATGTCTTTAGCTGCAGAGTCTTGCCGGAGTCTGGCGGAGTCGGTAGCTGGTGCGTTCCGAGCGTCACAAACCCCAATCAAAAACAGGATTGCCACGCTCTAACGCGTGGATTTGGCGCGTCCGGTTTTGGTTTTGACTGCTATTAAAATAGAAATTGGAAACAGCCTCGATGGCTCTGTCCAAAGCGAAAAGCGGTAGCGCGTGGCAATGCCATTTTTGGCAGTGTGGCAGCAAGCTTTCAACGCAACTAGGGAGGACGAGTTCTTGGAGTCCAAAAAGCCAATGTGTTTATGGCCACGAAAATGGATTGCTGCAGTGACTTTGCGAAAAATTGCGCAGCTTGGCAGGATTCCGGGGAAGACGGTTGCTGATTGAAAGTCTCTAGCCCCGCCTGCATGTTGCCAATCTTAGCACCAGTTGTTTTGGAATTGTTGGGTGTTGTCGCAGGCTTTGGCTGGCGTGGATGAGGTGCTGTGTTTGCGTTGGCAGTGGATCTTTTTGTTGTGGGCGTCGCACTGCTCAGTTTTGTTTTGGTCTCTTGATGCGTTGTTGTTGTTGGACTCCCCGCCTTCGCCCCCCAAACTCCGCGGGTCGGGTTGTGTACGTCCAGAGTTCAGCATCATCCGGTGAAAGAGTACTAGTGTATGTTTATCGATTTCATGGCTCCAGCAGATTCCGTAAGAAGGCTGGAGATGCAAAACTTCGGTTTTACTACAGTTTTGTTCTAGTTTTGATGTCTTTAGCTAACTTTAGCTGCGGAGTCTTGCGGAGTCGGGCGGAGTCGGACACCTGCTGAAACCCTGTTTGCAATGGGGAAAGAGTTCCAACTTTGTGACTCCTGACGACTCGCAAGGAACCGGAAGATTCGCAAGAT